ATTGTGGAGACTTTAAGCAGTAACATGCAATCGTCAGGACAACCACATTCATAGAAACAGGATGGAATGCTGTCAGCGCCAATATCCTTAGAGCATTTCATAAACCTAATGACATGATAAGTGCTGGCATAGGTGAAATCAACGGTATTTAGTGTTCGCAGTGGAATGGTGGCATCTAAGCATGAGTTTTGCTTCTGGTAGGAGATGCTCGGAGCTCTCGAGAGGTTATCAGTGATGAAGTATTCACCTCATCCAGAGGATCTTAGTATTGATCCTAGGAAAGACCAGTTTGCCTTAATATATTTCCCATATGTTATTTGTTGTTAAGTGTAGCCATAAGCTGCATTGTTACTCAGTGGAAGTGATAGTGCACACAATGCTGTTTTGTGGTCGCTACCTGAAAACTTGGAACCCACTAAGATTGAGAGGGGACTTATATTGCGGCAGAATATTAAGTCTAGTATTTTGTCACCTCGCGTGGGAATAGTGACAGTTTGTTTCCAGCCGAAAATGTCCAGTGTGCCCAAGAGCTTGTCATATTTATCTGGGCCTGTCAATAAGTCCCAGCTGATTTCGATTAGGTTGAAGTCTGTACATATTATCCACTTAGTACTGTAGCATCTGTTAAATGCACGTTGACTAGTAGAGTGTCATGCATGTTATTGAGTTCCCTATTTCCTAGCTGTAGTACAGTGAGTGTGCTCAGGAAGTACGTGAGAAAGCCTCCTCCCTTACCAGTGTTCCTGTCACACCGAAAGTGTGTGTAATTATCCATGCTTGTCTCTTCGTCTGGTATATCAGAGTGACACCAGGACTCAGTAATAGTAAAATTTAGGGAATTATATACCAGTTGTTGTGCCCTGAACACCTTTGATCGTTAAGGATAGATCTAGCATTAAATAGGATTAGGTGAAGTTGAGGGTTGAAATAATGTTTCAAGCATTAGAGCTCGTTATCCGAACTCAAGTGTGTTTCGGAATCCAGTGGTTTCACGTGACAAAATCACCTCGTGATTCAAGTAGTGCCAGTATCATGTTCACCTACGTCTAACGAGATGCTATCCGCTCCCTTCACTGAGTAGTGAATTGTACTACTGGATTCGATACAGAATAGCATAGGTAAAGCTGCCCATTTTACTTATACATACATTGTGTCAAGTGAAATTGTCCTTACCAGGGATGTTGACAAAGAAGAGAGGCGAAGCATTCTCAACCGAAACCAGCCAACTGGAATCCGATAGAACATATTCCCTCAGTGAGATATCATTAACATTTGTATAATTAACCATCCAGTAATATTACTCCCACTCCTGCACGCCCATAACTACGAATTTCTAGTTCATACTGTTGTAAATTTTAGCGTGGAACAGTGCAGATGTGTGTTACTTAAAGAAGCCTGATACTGGGAATCACTTTTCAGCATTGGTTTCAGCTGAGTATAATTTCTTATTTGCAAAGTCACAGAAGATTCTTATCTTGACAGTGATTTGATGAATCCGAAAATGAAAAATACTGGGTGGTTTTCCCAATTAATGTTGTGAAAGCATTATTACCTGTGAAGAAGGAATAAAACTCAGTTGACAGTAAATTGGTGGTCAGATATTTGCTAGTCATTTCGAGTATGTGTTAGTTATCCAAACATCAGCTTTCAGTGTTAATGCATGAAATGCATTTTCAGTCTCATTAAATTTATAATACATGGTGTACTACAGTGGTGTCACTTTAAACTCTACGTTGAATACCGATTGCATAATGCGTGAACTGTTAATACACAGAACCGAGTTCGTCGACTGGAAATTACACAGTTGATGTGAGAAATCACCAACGTTTCGTGTGGGAATGGTGCGGAATATTGTTAGGCTGTAACAATCATTTCGTTTTCAACCCTCCATCTACACATGCATAACAAGTGAATTATAAATCACTAAATCACAACACCTCGTAGTGAATTTCTATCCTTTCGCATACAATGCAAATATGAGGAAGGAAATGTATTTTCGAAAGTTGATGAGGAGAAATATGGAGGCATTCATTGAGGTACCAGAGATAATACAGTATTTCGCATAAAGATAACTATCTGTCGTGCACGAACTATCAGTGTTATTGAAATTTACCTTTCCTCTGATGCATACAACTCTGTCATATTTCGGTTCGTCCACTCACAGACACTATCGCCTTGATGACATACACATAGAAATTTCAATCCTAAATGAGTTGATGTTGAGCTGTTATCTTTAGACAACAATATTCCTTCTATTTTCGAACACGTCAGAAGTAAGGAAAGGAGAAGACCAATTGGAACACGAGCATTTTCAATAATGCATATGTGTCTAATATTGAAAGCAAAGTCACTATTACTACGATAGATTTAAGTTTATTTAATGAAAATAAGTGAAGAGACTATGTAAACTACAGGAAGAAAGGAAAGTCTAATCGCCCACTTTGCGTGTCTCACCAGTGCATTAGTACCCATCCAGGAATATAACCTTTCTGGGATCGTAGTTGTGGTCAAATGGAACAGGTTCGCACAAGTTGGTTTTGATGCCTGCAAAAGAGAATCGATATGTACATACATTCATCGATTGATATCACTTGGAAAACTAAGATGTTCATTTATCCTGTATAGTAAACAGAAACAACAACCTTAGTATGTGTATGAATATAAGAGATATGAGAATAGTTAGCTGGATGTGATTGGGAATGCTGAGAAATTTTCGAGATTAGTGAAGCTGAATACTTGTACGCCATTTTCTTTCCTTTCCATTAACTTTTCGTGCAGTGTCATTTAACAGTCGGCAGTAAATACTATGAGAGACTGATTTCTGCGTCCATCAGATGGTCAAACGTAACATCTGATATCATCACAACTCTCCTTCAGACCCCTAATACAAAATCAACTACGTGAAGAAATGGCACAGTGACAATGTTCGTCGACCACACAGCTATTATTCGTTGGAATGACTCTAATTGTCTTAGTTTCAATTGCTAATATTTCGACGTCAAACGACGATTGGAATGGGACTGAAGCATACAAAACGGTTTCATGGAGATTATAGGTGTTTTGTGGAATTCGATCTTTCAGTAAATACTAGCAAAGCTAAATATGAATAGAATGCATAACATAATGTTCGCGCTCGTGATCGCTTCAAGATTAGACTGAGCAGCCAGTGGAATATGTGGTGGTTGCTCACTACAGTCACTAATTCTCGGTCAAAATATTACCCACAGATTCATTCACTCACCCATTACCCTCCGTCTATAAGAAGTTGCTTCTGTAAGCGAAAACAAGAGGAAGGTTGAACATTTGGTACGGAATTCGAAAGTGAGAAAAATGTCTGCAGTTGATATCACACATACGAGAAGCAACCGACTAACTAATTCTTTCCGTCATTTCATAATGCATAAAATCGTCTTTGTTAGAGTTAAGTGAAATCAAATAAGACAATGTTAAGTACGAATTTTAGGCGATTTATGTCACTGACGAATTGTAATTCTGAGAATTTCCTGATGGAAAACCTGTGGAAGCTGCATGAATGGCAAGTTCCAAGATATCCTTACCATTTTCATCTAGAGTTAGATCCTCCAGCCTAGTGATTACTGCTCAAATCTCGGTTCTTATAAAATTCTCTCTCTGCCTTTCACGTGTGATCTTCTCGTGAATGAAAACAGCGAAATGTGCACATTTCTTCGAACCCAGAACATGTACACGTCCGTCTAATTTCTTCCAAATTATAAATGCTGTAGTAGCATCCGTTTTGACTCAGAACAAAGTCATATGAATAACATTGAATAAACATAACGGTAGAACTCTGCTTTAAACAAAGTGACTGGATGCGCACTGCTGTGTAATGAAACCTTTCACAACATCACGCATCACGGAGAAGTCGACCTGCGATCAAATGTTGAAGTCTATCTGTGGCACTATCTTCACACATTAGTGTTTCCTTTTGATAGCACATCATTTACCTCTGTCACTGTGTCCAACCAAATAAGGATCACTGTCAGTTTGATGAGTAATTCCGAGAGATGAGGTGTTGACATGTTCATCTCTAAGACAAGACAACAGTATTCTCAGTGCAGTCATTATTAACTTCCATTCTTAAATTCCACATATGTCTAGTATGACTACGGACAAACAACTGTAGCTGAGAGTAAGAGAAGCGTCACACATTTGATTTCTTCACAATAATCAAGCATACTTCACCTCTCACAGCCCTCATTGCCTCTTTACACATTACACGACTTTGTCATTATATAGGTAAATTGTTACGCAAGTGTGACTTAACTCCTCATAGCAAAGAATTATTTCGACTACTTTCCTGAGATGCGCCGTTTTACATTGATTGCTATCTGGTCAACTGACAGCGGTCAGTCACACACATCACATTTTCAATTAATCACATAATACAAGTGTCATATTAAATGTGATCATATATCGCAACAATATAAAACTAACCGTAATTAGGAAATGCTTCGAAAATGAAAATGAAATTAGAAAGCAATAATTACTTAGGTGACGATCAGTGAATTCGAAATAAGTCTACGCAATCAATTCTCTGTGGAGCAGCTTGTGATGATTCATCGATAATAAAAAAGAGAAATCAGCCTGTAATTATGCTGAAGCACGCAATCTGATATTCTTAAAATAGTTTTATGTAACTGCCAGTTGCTAACGTCGATCATATTTGAACGTTCGTTCTGTTTACCGTCTGTCTTCACTTCGTGCTCTTCATTAGTTCATCTCAACGAGGTAATTAGTTTACACGAATTGCAGAGTGCAGCGCAATCTCCAAGTGTCAGTGACTGAGCGTGTATGCATTTTGTCGACTGAAATCTACTATGCTCAAAACTTTAGGCTTAGAATTCCAGGATTGAGAAGTTACAACAAACTAATCAATGCTTATCCTGCATCGGTAATTCTGAATCTTAGATGAAATAAAACAGGATTTTATTAACTCACCTATCAGTATATCCGAAACTAGAATGTTTGAAACAAGCAATTGGAAAGATAACATTCATTCACTGTGAACAAAGAAATGCGTTAATTTTGATTCATGATTTTCTAGGCACAAATTCTACTTAAAGTCATAGATGTTATGCACACGGCTATCATTGTTTTAGTAAGTCAACTTAGTGAAACTCCAACACTGTTGCTTAATAATTGAAGAAGTGAATAGAAAATTTCTTCTTTTCACCACTTCAATGAGGCAAACATCTTGACAATTGTAAGTGCCCACGAATCTCACGTATATATATAAATACTAGGCAGAAAGTCAAGTAACGAAACATCTTTGTTTGGTTGATTCAGCTCTGTATTCTACAGAATAAGCATCTGAATGTCAAATCTTCGCTCAATATTGAGGATGAAGTCCAGATTATCCGGCAATTCAAACTGATGGAGAACGTTTCATAGAGCGGTTTCCTCGTTTTGGTAGGTAACAATCACTCACTACATGCAATGACATTCACCATGAATTAATAACTTCTACAAAGATACGTGATGAATGTGTTATCTGAAAGGTTAGGAATGATTAGCCGATAAATTCCACAGATATTTATCAAATGCAGAAGAATGTCGAGTCAGTTTTCCCAACGTTTGTCCTGGAAAAACAAATTGGAATCACCTGAATACATATGGAGCCATTGTTTTGTGTAAAATATCAGAAGAAAACTCACCTTCTATCTTCCGTGAAAACTCATCGGATATTTGACTCTCCAGTAGATTCTTGGTGAACATTCCCAAAACATCAACTACCGACAATTTTTTATTGAGTCGTCGCAGCTTATAAACGGGTATATGGTAGTCAACAGAAACACGAACAGCTCCATCTGGATGTAGGTCATTGAATATATCTGTCCGACAGTATTCAGAGCCAAATGAAAGTCTGGATAGAATGCCGTCAAAACGTTGATCAATCTGTAAACACGAAATAGTGATTAGTTCCTCTGACAGCCGGTGTTACGATTTAGTGTTAATTAAGTGGAAAGACATATCTGTTAACGACTCAATCTTCAGGTCACATTGTGGCAAAAGTAGGAACTAATTAATAGCCTTATAAATCTTGTGCGTACTAAAATAAACACATAACCAGAGAACGGAATCCTTGAAGAATTCGGCATAAGCAAAACTTGAAGACTGAGTTAGAATTCATCAGGTCAGGCTCGGTCACCGTACAAATAATAAAACGCACTGAAAGATGTAAACTCTAGTTTACTTACCGCATTACATATTTTTGGCTTCATTTCCGTTATAACCTCATGTTTTAGTACCGTGTACCAACCCTGGTAACATGTTCCATTCTTCAAATACCCGAGAATTGTCACTTTGATTACTTTTTGCCACTCTTCCTCTAGAAAATTGTTAATTTTTAAATCAAGTGTCAAAATGAATAGCTAGGATATATTGAAAAATAAGACATAGTAGAATGATAGACAGATCATAAAACGTGTGAAACCAGTGAGACACTGATGATTATTTCTTTACTCAGTGTAACCAGAACAAGGCTGTACTTAGGTACGCGTGTACCTCGACCACTTCCTATACTCTTTCAGTTTGCTGAGACAATTATTATTATTATTATTAGTAGTAGTAGTAGTAGCAGTAGAATTGTTATCTTGGAATTCGAAGGTGAAGAGATTCACATCTTGTTCGCCTTGAAGTTGATTGCCTGCAGTCATTTATTTAAATAAGTTTGACAATTTCCCAATTCATCAAAGTCGATTTATTCAGGTAAGAAAAATATTATAGCACAACCTAAGTCTGATAGTCTGTGTTCTAGTCAAGAGACAGACAGAAAGAGAAGGAGCTATTCGAGTGAGTTTTGTCATAATCATTTATCCAGTCATTTATGTCTGGTTATGACTGCCTAGACTGAAGTCTGCAGTAGGACAAGGTTATTGAATGGCTCATCAACCAAGATGCAACGCAAATGTCACATAAAATATGATGATGCATCATATCAATATGGAACTAACCGTATGGAGGAGATACTTGGAAAATAAAAGTGAAATAAGAAAGCAATAGTGAATTCAACAAGTTAATTGTACTATCAGTTTAATTAACTGACGATCAACAAAGTCTAGAAAACTCCACAAAATCAATTCTGTATTTCGTTCATAAGGATTTGAATGGTTCTACTGATCTCACCATAGACCGACATCAGATAGAAGATCTCCTGAACGTGGAGCAGCCGTGGATAACTGTTTGAGACGATGTGGGCTAACGACCCGATGAAGCGTCAAACAAAGCACTGTGAGTTCAGACAGTGAGGATGACAAGACTGAACTACTTGGAAGGATTTCAGTTGATCGCAATTTAAAAATTCTGAGAGATCATGATGTGTTGGCAACACTGTTTAATACTATGTAGGAGTACAGCCATCATTGTCAGACACACAAGGTGCACCAATCTTAACGTTTGATGAAAAAATTCAGAATGTCCCATTCGATGCCAAGTGCTTATAACTAAAGTGTTAGATTTAAGTTGTCGGGAAATGGCAGAATTCGCCAATCTCTAACCGTGAACATCTCAACCATATGCCGAATGGTATCACTCGTATTGACATCCAGTAATGGTGAGCTGCAGCCATTGTGTAATATCGTATGAGATGAACAATAGCCTATTTTAGTGATATTGGCCTGCAAAGTATGTCATTACCATGAGACTGTCACGTTGGTCGCAAGCTTGATAGACAAGCGGGAAAGTAATCAACAATCTTTGTTGCACCACCCAAATCACAATAACGTTCAGAACACTGCACCAATAAACGCAACTGGGCCATGACGAAAGCAGTCTAACACGCTAGAAACTTCCAACTGTCAGATGAGATACAAATATATGTTCACTAAAGTCAGCCATCTACTTGGAACACATTGTTCTCACTGACTGTCATCAAAGTGAACATAAAAATAATGAGGTGAATCAGCACAAAAGACGATCAAAACACTTGTAGAAAGCTTACCTGAGTAAACAACTGCAAACAAAGCTGTGAAATATAAGAATGAGATGTAGGTGTTCATTCTGAAACTTTTGCTATAATTGAATTCAATGGCAATCTAAGTCTTCACTGGATATTTATACTATACTTAGGAATGCGCCTCCCCATCGCTAAACACGGCAAACAACAGCACTATTAAATATTTCTATCGTGTTTGTGTGAGATCCAGAATTGAAGAGGAATACCTCAAGTATGAATAGCAATAGTTGCAAAAATAACTCACTAATTAGGCCCCTGAATTAAAATAAAATCTCAGTGACAAAAAGAATTATGATAAAATAATATCAATAACAGATATAAGTTAACATTAGAAATATGATATTCTAATTAACAAAAAGAATGTAGCAAACAACGGATGACAGAGTGAAAGTTTTAGGTCAACGCACACAAAAGAGTAAAGTACCTAACAAAAGTTTAAATTATGAAAATGTTGGTAGAGTTAGTTATTTCTACTGCTGCAAGTAAAAGTACTTCTAGGATAGTCATACTAGTCCTATGTAAACCACCTTCAGTCCATCTATCTGACTTGCTGTGTTTACACTATTAGATGTTTGCTGGGTGTGTGAGGTACTGGTGGTGCTGTTGGTAAGATACACTCTACTAGGCCTTACTAAAACCACTTTATCTGTGTACCCAAATGGATCAGTACTCTATCTAACCTGTAAGTACAGACGACAAAACACAAATATAAAGACTTAGTTAATTGGAAATGTGCTCTGCTTAGCAGTATCTTTGAGTAAAATATAAGGTCGAGATTATACATGGGAAGGGATGTAGGATTTATCTGACGAATATGGCTGTATTACGAAGTGAAAGTATGTGAGTGAGGGCAGCACAAGGGAGAAGAGCAAAATGTCGTTGGAGCTAGTCCGTATATGAACACGTTAAAACAAAGTCTTAAACATCGGCTATTGCGATCCAGTGGTTATATATATATATAATTTTTCATTTTAGCTTGATTCAACACCGTATTTTTGGTACACGTATGGAATTTTCAGCATGTGATATCGGTAGCCCAAATTTTGCAGGCCGTCCATCTTCCGTACACTGATGGTAAGAATGCAAAGAAGATAGTAGTCGAAATAATTGCTTGCCATAAGGATTTCAGACACACTTGTGTCAAATTCCCTCCTATAAAATAACAAAGTCGTGTAATGTGTAAAGAAACAATGAGGGCTGTGAGAGGTGAAGTATGCTTGATTATTGTGAAGAAATCAAATGTGTGGGAAACGCTCTCTCTTACTCTCAGCTACAGTTGTTTGTCCGTAGTCATACTAGACATATGTGGAATTTAAGAATGGAAGTTAATAATGACTGCACTGAGAATACTGTTGTCTTGTCTTAGAGATGAACATGTCAACACCTCATCTCTCGGAATTACTCATCAAACTGACAGTGATCCTTATTTGGTTGGACACTGTGACAGAGGTAATTGATGTGCTATCAAAAGGAAACACTAATGTGTGAAGATAGTGCCACAGATAGACTTCACCATTTGATCGCAGGTCGACTTCTCCGTGATGCGTGATGTTGTGAAAGGTTTCATAACACAGCAGTGCGAATCCAGTCACTTTGTTTAAAGCAGAGTTCTACCGTTATGTTTATTCAATGTTATTCATATGACTTTGTTCTGAGTCAAAACGGATGCTACTACAGCATTTATAATTTGGAAGAAATTAGACGGAATTGTAGATGTTCTGGGTTCGAAGAAATGTGCACATTTCGCTGATTTCATTCACGAGAAGATCACACGTGAAAGGCAGAGAGAGGTTTATAAGAACCGAGATTTGAGCAGTAATCACTAGGCTGGAGGATCTAACTCTAGATGAAAATGATAAGGATATCTTGGAACTTGCCATTCATGCAGCTTCCACAGGTTGTCCATGAGGAAATTCTCAGAATTACAATTCGTCAGTGACATAAATCGCCTAAAATTCGTACTTAACATTGTCTTATTTGGTTTCACTTAACTCTAACAAAGACGATTTTATGCATTGTGAAATGGTGGAAATAATTTGTTTTACATATATTTCTTACTTTCGAATTTCGTACCAAATGTTCAACCTTCCTCTTTTTTTCGCTTACAGAAGCAACTTCTTATAGACGGAGGGTAATGGGTGAGTGAATGAATCTGTGGGTAATATTTTGACCGAGAATTAGTGACTGTAGTGAGCAACCACCACATATTCCACTGGCTGCTCAGTCTAATCTTGAAGCGATCACGAGCGCGAACATTATGTTATGCATTCTATTCATATTTAGCTTTGCTAGTATTTACTGAAAGATCGAATTCCACAAAACACCTATAATCTCCATGAAACCGTTTTGTATGCTTCAGTCCCATTCCAATCGTCGTTTGACGTCGAAATATTAGCAATTGAAACTAAGACAATGAGAGTCATTCCAACGAATAGGAGTTATGTGGTCGACGAACATTGTCACTGTGTCATTTCGAAGAAATAAATATATGTGTTTGACAGAAGAAATAGCTAAACAAATAATAGTCAGTGCATGCAGATGTCATCTGAGTCATGTATGATAAGTGCGTTGAATCTTCGTTCACAAAAACATTTCGAGAAGTTACTCCTGAATACAAAACCAACAGCGTGATATGTATGAATATTTAGTTTATCGTTGTGATTGTTGTCTACGTGACAGTGTTACTGCATCAAGCTGATTTTGATGTCAAAGTGTGAAACGGGAAGCGCTGTGTGTCAATGTGTCATTTGTGTGAGTGAGAAGCATTGTACTTTCTTGGAGTTTGATAGGAATTTTCGATGGCAGAATGCAGCGAAGTGGACTAATTAGAAGGCCAGTTTCAAACTGTGTGTGACTGACGCATGCACACTGATTGTATTGAAAGCGTAAACACTAATAGAGCTTGTGAGCAGAATGTTAGCGTGAGGATCTTCGCTATCACAAATCAGACTTGCTACGCTTTCGTTTGAGCGTGCTTGTTTTGGTAGGAGGGTGGTGGTCTATCACAACTTGGATTTCTTCACGTAGTTGATTTTGTATTAGGGGTCTGAAGGAGAGTTGTGATGATATCAGATGTTATGTTTGACCATTTGATGGACGCAGAAATCAGTCTCACATAATATTTACTCCACGAAAGGATAATTGAAAGGAAAGAAAATGGCGTACAAGTATGCAGCTTCACTAATCTCGAAAATTTCTCAGCATTCCCAATCACATCCAGCTAACTATTCTCATATCTCTTATATTCATACACATACTAAGGTTGTT